GGGAGGAGCTGCTGTCTGGGTCAGCAGCCGCCCTGCAGGAGAGGGGCTGCTGTGCTCATCCTGAACTCAGACTGGATAGCCCTGGGCCAGCGCCGGAGGAGGAGCAGAGGCAGGGAGGTGGGAGGAGCCTGCACAGAGGCGTGGGAGGCCTGAGGAGTAGCGGCTGGGCCCTGAGAGCACTGGCAGGGAGGTTGGGTCTGTTTACGGGAAGTGAAGGCTGGGGCTGGCCATTTGGAGGTCAGGGTCAGCAGGGGAGCCACACTGCCCAAAGAAGTTCAGGTCAGGCACAGGCCGGGGACGGATGTTCCGAAGCTGGCAGTGCCTGTTGGGGAGGCTGTCAGCAGTGGCTGACAGCTCTGTGTAGCCCAGTGTGGCCTTGGTGTCATGGGGTACCAGCCATGTCCCTCATGAGGAAGGCAGGTCCTCACCCCTGGTGTTGTGTGGTTCCATTAGGGGCACCCCACAGGTGTGCCGGATCCTGAACTGGTTTCTTCATCAAAACATAGTTGAATTCGACTACGACCTCAGCATATAGACTATAGGGTCTGGATACCAACGGTGGCCTGATGATGGCCTGAATGAGTGTCACAGCACCACCGCCTGCTTCCTCTGTGGGTGAAAGTTGGCAGTGGGCACCCCAGCCTGTGAGCTAGCCCTGCCACTGTCTCTGGGGCTTCTCTGTTGGCATGCAGACTGCCCACACTCGCCTCTGCTGAGCGCTGCTGTGCCATGGCTCCAGCAGTCAGTTGGCCGAGGGAGGGGCCGGCATGAGGGTCTCGCGGAAACCTGCAGCAGTGGCCACGCCGGAGCCTCGCTCAGTGTCTGCGACGGGCGGTTAAGGTTAAAGTTGCTGTTGAGGGCCTGGATGGCTCTGCTGGCGCACGCGGCGGCTGAACAACATGTGCGTTCTGCGGTGTTTTCTTCCTTATAATTTTAGTGTCTGAACCTGATAATAAAACTTCAGAACTTTTGTTTACTATGTATCTTGGAATTTGTGTCCTTTTTTTAGTGATTAAATTTTATTGTGCTTAGCAAAAATGTCAGTCCCGCTCAGATGGGAACGCAGCTGACACCTCCCTGGGCACATCCTCCCTGTGGCTCCTGAGGCCTGGGAGCCCTGCTGTGGGAGGGAGAGAGCTGCCGCATGGAGGCAGCCTTCCTGGTTGTTCCATGCCCCCATGCGGTCTTCTGTCCCGGCCTCTTCTGTCAGCGAGGAGCACCAAAGGGTGCCGGGTAGCATTTGCTGGGTGTCGTGTATGGGCACCTTTGGGGAAGCCAACATCAAGTCTGTTGGGGCAGAGCTGGCGGCACAGCCCTAGTGACGTGGACTGACACTCTCGCCCTCTCAAAGAGGCCGAGTTGCCGCCTGCACTTGGCTTGGAGCACGTTCTAGACTCTGAAAGGAGTGTGTGGCTGTCAGTGAGTGTCCCTGACCCTCAGCCTGCGTGGCTTTCCAGAGGGCACCAGCAGATACGCACGAGTGTTGAGCTGTGGTGCCCCTGTTGCATTGTTTTGGTTTTAAACGTTTTATTTTGAAATAGCACGAGACTTAACACAGAAGAGTTGTGAAGACACCGTGGCCCTGGTGAGCCCTTCCCCCGCCTCCTTCACGCTCACATCCTGCGTAACTGTGGCGCGTTCTGGGCAGGGCCTCTTTGCCTTGCACTGGAAACACGGGATTCCTGTCTGCAGCGTGCCAGCTGCTCGGAGCTCTGCCCTGTGCCTGAGTGGCGTAAGCGCCATGGTGAGGTGGGGCCTGCCTGGAGTTGGAAAGGCCCCGTTCCTGTGTAGAACTTGAAAGCAGCTGAGGGGCGTCCAGAGAGGCCTTGCCTTTCCTGGTGACAGTTTGGAATGTGCTAGCATCGTGGACGCTGTGTGGGTTCCTCCGCACGAGACAGGGTGGTTGTGCCCCTTTGCCTCATGGTCTAATGGCAAAGGCTTTCTGTCCTGCTCACGTGAGACCCTCGCACAGGCAGAGCAAAGACTAAGCACGCTTTGCGTCCTTTAGAAATTCTGCCTTGTGGCAGGAGGCGCTCAGAAGGGGCCTCGACTGGGGGAGCTCTGCAGGCTGATGTTGGCTGTCGTGTCAGGGCCTCGGGGGGTCTTCCGGGTCTTACCTGGTGGGTCTCATTGAGCTCACGCACGCTGATCAGGTATTTATGGAGAGCTGAAGTGCTGTCTGCTGTGACTTCCTCATCCACTGGATGTAGAGGAAAGGAAAAGAATCCTTCCCAGCTTTCTTAAGCAGCACCAAATTCTTGGGAGAAATCTTTTTTAAATTTGTTTTGTTGTTCCTTTGTTGTTTATTTGTTTCTTGAGACAGAGTCTCACTGTCGCCCAGGCTGGAGCGCAGTGGTGCAATCTCAGCTCGCAGCAACCTCTGCCTCCGAGGTTCAAGCGATTCTTCTGCCTCAGCCTCCCAAGTAGCTGGGACCACAGATGCGCACCACCACCACCTTGCCCAGCGAATTTTTGTATTTTTAGTAGAGACAGGGTTTCACCATGTGAGCCAGGCTGGTCTTGGACTCCTGACCTCAGGTGATCCGCCTGCTTCAGCCTCCCAGAGTGCTGGGATTACAGGCGTGAGCCACCACTCTCGGCAGGAGAAATCTTAAAGGCAGGCAATGTGGGCAGCGGCGGTGGGGGGGGGGGGGCGTGCTGCGTGACACCAGCAAGCTTGGGTCCAGATGCTGCACTCGGTGCCTGGCTTCCAGTCTTTCTCCTGTTGTCACTGCCTCATTGCTTTGTCAGTTGGTTAAATGTGTTGTGGCTTCGTAGCTTCCCTGCCCTCTTTCTCAACATTGTAAGACTCATTTGCTCACCAGCAAGTGTGAGTCCTGCTTGGTAGCCTGTGTAATGCTAGCTGCCGTTTGCGAGCTCTCCTGTGCGGCTGATGGGGCTTGTCTGGTGTGGATGAGAGCTGTACACACTACCACCAGTATGTACATGTCAGCCCTGGAGGACGTCTGAGTGGAGGGCAGCTGGAGCAGGCTGAGTGGGGAGTGGCAGCCAGGGGACGGGTGCAGAGCTGGCCTTCCCACCTGCCTCCTACCTCTGCTTTCAGGGAGAAAAGTGAGTCTGGGGAGGGCCCTGCTGTGTGGCTCCTTCCTTGGCCGTGGCCAGTCCTGTCTCTTTTGCCCTGGCTGTCCCTTCTCGGGAAGCCCAGGTGCTGAGCTGCGTCCAGGCCTCCCTCGCTGTAGCCCTGCCTTCCTCACATGGCCTCACGACTAAGCATGGTGGCTGACACGAGGTTGAGGCCTGCCCAGGGCTGGGGGAGCAGGCAGTGCCCAAGAGTCTGTCCTCCATGGTTGGGCATGGCTGGAGATGAGGCGGAGATGGAGCACTTGTTCTGGCACAGGTACCATGGCAGAGTTGGACCCGCTGCTCCCGGGCGGCAGCATGGCCGCGTTATGACGTGCTGTGCGGAGAGCTGCTGGCTAGAAGTGCAGCTAGGACCACGGGCAGTGTTTCCTGCTGGAGCTTGGCCACGGAAGCCTGGGAGTGCTGGGGCACGACTCTGTCATGCCGCATTCAAACCATACAGCACAGGAAATGGGGAGAGAAGAACGTCAGCAGGGCTTCTCTCCAGAGGGACGGGAAACTAATGATGACTTGAAGATTCTCCTTGATATACTTATTTTCCACAGGGAATAGATTATTTTTATGATTGGGGTGAGGCGAACACGCTCATGCAGGAGAGGTGTGGGTTGTGTGTGTCCACGGGGAATAGATTATGACTGGGGTGAGGTGAACACGCTCATGCAGGAGAGGCGTGGGTTGTCCGTGTCCACGGGGAATAGATTATTTTTATGATAGGGGTGAGGTGAGCACTCATGCAGGAGGGGTGTGGGTTGTCTGTGTCCACGGGGAATAGATTATTTTTATGATTGGGGTGAGGTGAGTGTGCTCATGCAGGAGAGGTGTGGGTTGTCCGTGTCCACTGGGAATAGATTATTTTTATGATTGGGGTGAGGTGA